TTTGTAATTCATTTTGTTTTTATACAGTTCCTGTCATATACTTTCTTACATATATTTAAAAATTGCTCATATGCTTTATCTAAGTCTTCCTCTCTGTAAACTGATTCCCAGTTTTGCCCCATAAAATCCTCTTTTAGCCTCCTTACAGCATGCTCATTCGTCACCCTCCTATAGAAAAGTTCCAGCAAATTATCCACCACCCTTGACATTTTCTCCAATCTCTTATAACAAAAGTTTTTATCTATGTACAAGGCCACACCACCTCCCATCTTATTCTCTCTGTTTGTGCATACCAAGTCATAGCCATCAAGGTCAAAATCCATTCCCCTTACATTATTCATCCAAGTTTCAGAAATAGCAATTATATTAAAAGAATGTGTCAGACTACTAAGATAATGTTTTATACTCTGAAAGTTTGCGTATAGACTTCTGTTCAAATAACTGTGCTGCTCATAAAAATTTGTTTAATCAAGGAGGTCCATGCATAACCTTTATGAGCACCTACTACCATGATGAATACTCTCAAGCACTATTATGTGTTCAATATGCTGTCAAATGCCTTGTTCTTGCCCTCTGGTGTTTGTACAGATACAGACTAAATATGCAATTAATGGCTGTAACAGGTATCTAATGTATAACACGGTTACTTTTCCAAAATCACCTATCATTAAATGCATTTAGGATGGCAACAAAGAATTCAGGTGGTCTTAAAATGATGATGTATCAGCTCCTTAAGTCCCCAAAAGACCATGGACAATATCTCTGTTACAGACACTGTCAGATTTGTAGTGAAAACTGTGGTCTTCCCCTGTCCCTTCTCTCTTTCTGCAGGGTTGGCAGGATTCTTCCCTCTGCACCCCATGACAATAACAGAAGCAGAGCGACACAGAGCCCAAACAGAGCAGACAGAAAAAGCAACAGGAACAGAGGATAGTATGCAAGTGGACGAGGGACAGAAGCAGGATGAAGTGTGAGAATTAAAGCTGGGAGCTGCATACAACTTCTTACGTCAGTAGCAAGTACTGTTTATGAGTGTGAAGTGCCATAACAGGCAGTTGTTTGTCTTTATTGTTTTATGTGACTTAATAAAGTATTTCAATATTATTGCATTTGTTTGTGGTTAAGTTGCTTTTTCCCAAGAACTATATGGATGATTCACATTGATTTGCAAGAAATTAATTAGTTTTGTTTTCTTGAACCTCATGGACCTTGCCATTATTCCACCCTCTTTTGTTTGCTCTTTCTTTTTTATCCTGCCTTTATGGATGAGCAAACATGAATAGTTACCATCAGCAATGTCAAACACAAGGAAACAAAGAAATCAAGTGGTTGGGTTTGGTGATATGATTACTGACAAACTTAAAAGCACTTAGTTCCTATTCCACCCACATACTGTACTCCCTGTGTAAACTGAAAACTGACCAAGTCACGAAACGTTAGACATGATGCATGCAAATTGTTAGCTTTTTCTGTGATGTATATTTTTTCATACTGCAAGTTCTAACAATAATAACAACAATGCACAATGAATCTTGTGTAGAGTCAATAGTTTGAGTAGATTTGGCCTTATTGAGATGGGGAGAAGGCGCAGTAACGTCATATTGATGTCTTAGAGACACAATCACACCACGCTTTTCTTTATCAACAGGTCATTTTGTACAAACAAGTTCACAGGCAACTCTCCATGCACCTTGTGTTTGTTTAACCTAGTGCAGAGATAGCATGCACACATAATGTAAGATATTTTTGTTTGTACACTTCTGTTTCTGTTCACAAAAAGCTCTTAGATGAGCTGAGGACCACTAAAGGCACAGTTTATGAGGTACTGCTGTGCTTGTCACATGACTATCTTCACGTCGCTCCATCTTGAACCAGTCCATATTCAAAACCACAGGTGTGGTTTGCATCAATCTGGTAGAGATAAGACAATAGCCAAAATACACTTAGCAACACCCTGGTGCCCATGTGAAAGTCCAGCAGAAACAAATACAAAACTTAAAAAAGTAACGCTGTTGTCGTTTCATTTCTGTTTGGATTTTGAAACAAATATCTTAAGCATCTTAGTGCACTGAGCATTCCCGAATACAACTGAAATTATGTAGTAGCAGTATATCAGTATTGGAGTACTTGAGTCCAGTACTCGCACTATTTGGTGACTTGAGGTTTAGTGTCGAATACAACACTGCAGGGCACTGCTGAAAAATTATGAGCAGCTATTCTTCTCGTAGTAGTTACCAATGCACATGATTTAGTTTATGCATTTCTTAAATATAATAAAATTGCAAAAAGCGAAAATTGCAACCGTATTATGAAATTGTTGCAATCTACCATGGAATACTGAGCAGGAAATGGAAGTTTTTATTTTGCTGTATTTCAGAAATTATTTTCTAATAAACATACAGTGGGGAGTTTTATCCAATCCACTTGTGGCTTTATGAGACATGTTATTCCTGGTGCTACTGAGGCCACTTATTAACCCTTGCTGAGTTCCTGTTTGATATCTTTACTCAAGAATTTATAGCATTGATTCATCCCAATATATTGTTAATGTGTTGCTCAGTGTAACATTCCTTAGAGTCAAGTGACCTTGCCCCACTATATAAATAGGCAATTGAAATAAATGTCAATAACAAAGCCAATAAATTCCATGGATTTCTTGTAATTTAACAACTAATTGTCTAATTCATGTCAATTCATCACCTATGAAGAACAAAATGTATATGTAGTTATATACAGTTATTTTCATAACATGTTTCTGCAGTTACATTTACAGGACGAATAATTACACATCAGATAAACAGTTATTATAAATCCAAATTACAGTAAGACACTGAACACAGTTTATGTCAACAATGCTTTGCAAAACTGTAAAATAAGACAAAAGGCTTGTTGGAGCAAGTGCCACAAAATATACCCTGGGTCATTATGTTATTTCTCTGCCAGTTAATGTATTTAATGGCAAAATAAAGAAACTTTCTTTGAAAAAATAGAATCACAGAATAATCATCATGCAGATAAAATGTAGCTTAACTTTGAAAAAGCATTTTGGTTCAAACTCTGCCTTTAATGTACAAAAAAACAAAATCCATAACAAGTGTACATTAAATACCCCTGCTGTTACTGACAATAAAGATGTAACATTGGGTAATGACCGTTTTATTGCTGGAATCACACCTATCTTAACCCAAACTCAACCTCTTATGACTTAGTTCTTGTTTACGTCACAGTCACTGTGATATGGACCTTTGTAAACAAACGTGAGTGTACAGGGTGTGAGTGTACTCCACAAATCCCTGCAGTGCCTGCCACAATAAAATGTTTGCCTAGGGAGGGTACTATATCAGTAACAATCACAGGTTACCAGTTGATCATTGATGACACATTAGCATAGATGAGATACTGAAAGACAAATCTTGATATGGTTTAGAAGTGCCAACAGGATCAAACTAATTGCCAGTTCGCGCGCGATTAGTAGGAGAGAATACAGGAAGGCTACTACAAGACTGAAAATTTCAGAACATCTAAAATATTTTGCTTCAGTGTAATGCGTTGTGTTCATGGATTGAAAGACATTGCAGCAGTAGGAATACTTCAACTTCACAGGTTTGGATGATTACCTAAATGCACACAAAAATGAAAAAGCGGAATTACTTTGGATCCTGGAATTGGAGAAGGCTCGCTACAGTTCTTATAACCCTTACAGCTGTGGTCATCGCACTTATTGTGCTCATTGCGCTATGTGTGTTCTTTGGACAAAAAAGGGGTAAGTCTCTGAACTGCAATTCTGTAATGCATAACCGGGTGAGGCATACTCAGCTCACTTCACTACAGAGTTATTTTGCATGTAACAAACCAACAACCACTGATATAGTTGTATGTTATAATGTGATGCCATTAATTTTGGTGCTGACATTGTTTCAGAAATGACTGCAATTAGTATAAACTGCTTCTATTAACAAGACAATCCTCACAAGATTTGAGGGTTTTTCTTCAGTTACAAGTTATTTTTGGAACAATGTGAATAATTTTTAAGTAGCAATTTATTTGTTATTTTAACATATAAATCACTTGGGTTAAGATTTTATTGAATTACTTTTCAAGAACCAAATTATCCCTTATATTTGCAAATTTTCATCCTGTCAGCATTGGACTGTAATTTCTTGTGCAACATAAACATAAAACCATGAGAGTAATACAATTCACACTAAAGAGAAATAACAGACGGATTGCAGATTGACTGGCAGTTAATTGCAGAAACCAAACTGTGTAAGAATACAAACATTTCACACACATTAGATATGGTAGTAAGAGAATTTTAGGCTATTCAAAGTTGAATGGAGAAATGTTCATTCCATGTGACTTTATTTATTATTAAACTGAAACTGAGTCGATAATAACAAAACATTCAGAAAAATGGATATTTAATTGCACAGACATAATTCAAGGTCAAATATCTTTATTGCCATTCTAGTACACATGCATGTCCACATACACATGCTGAAGTGAAAGTAAATACTCCAGGTCCCTGTAATGAAACAAGGGGCCCCCAGTAATTCCATTTAGCCCCACTAAAATTATATAAACAAAATCCAAAACTATATAGCCCTGTGTGAACAAGTGTTTGCCCCCCTGTCAAAACACTGGTTTATCGCACCTGAGTTCAATTTCTCTAGCCACACCCAGGCCTGATTACTGCCACACCTGTTCGCAATCAAGAAATCACTTAAATAGGACCTGCCTGACAAAGTGAAGTAGACCAAAAGATCCTCAAAAGCTAGACATCATGCCGAGATCCAAAGAAATTCAAAACCAAATGAGAAAGAGAATAATTGAGCTCTATCAGTTTGGAAAAGGTTATAAAGCCATTTCTAAAGCTTTGGGACTGCAGCGAACCACAGTGAGAGCCATTATCCACAAATGGCGAAAACATGGAACAGTGGAGAACCTTCCCAGGAGTGGCCGGCCGACCAAAATTACCCCAAGAGCGCAGCGACAACTCATCCAAGAGGTCACAAAAGACCCCACAACAACATCCAAAGAACTGCAGGCCTCACTTGCCTCAGTTAAGGTGAGTGTTCATGACTCCACCATAAGAAAGAGACTGGGCAAAAATGGTTTGCATGGCAGAGTTCCAAGACGAAAACCACTGCTGAGCAAAAAGAACATAAAGGCTCGTCTCAGTTTTGCCAGAAAACATCTTGATGATCCCCAAGACTTTTGGGATAATACTCTGTGGACAGACGAGACAAAAGTTGAACTTTTTGGAAGGTGTGTGTCCCATTATGTGTGGCGTAAAAGTAACACCGCATTTCAGAAAAAGAACATCATACCAACAGTAAAATATGGTGGTGGTAGTGTGATGGTCTGGGGCTGTTTTGCTGCTTCAGGCCCTGGAAGACTTGCTGTGATAAGTGGAACCATGAATTCTGCTGTGTACCAACATATCCTGAAGGAGAATGTCCGGCCATCTGTTTGTGGCCTCAAGCTGAAGCGAACTTGGGTTCTGCAGCAGGACAATGATCCAAAGCACACCAGCAAGTCCACTTCTGAATGGCTGAAGAAAAACAAAATGAAGACTTTGGAGTGGCCTAGTCAAAGTCCTGACCTGAATCCAATTGAGATGCTGTGGCATGACCTTAAAAAGGCGGTTCATGCCCGAAAACCCTCCAATGTGGCTGACTTACAACCATTCTGCCAAGATGAGTGGGCCAAAATTCCTCCACAGCGCTGTAAAAGACTCATGGCAAGTTATCGAAAATGCTTGATTGCAGTTGTTGCTGCTAAGGGTGGCCCAACCAGTTATTAGGTTTAGGGGGCAAACACTTTTTCACACAGGGCTATATAGTTTTGGATTTTGTTTTCCCTTAATAATAAAAACCTTCATTTAAAAACTGCATGATGTGTTTACTTGTGTTATCTTTGACTAATATATAAATTTGTTTGACGATCTGAAACATTACAGTGTGACAAACATGCAAAAAGATAAGAAATCAGTAAGGGGGCAAACACTTTTTCACACCACTGTAAATATATATTAATGAAATAACAGCTAAAACAATCTAAGAAGTGGAGGAAATATTATAATATTCCCTGTAATTAACAGC